CTTTTTCACTCTCTAACTGCTGCCATATCCTCAGAACTGGACTCTGCTGAAAGTCCAGTTCTATCAGCCCCTCTCCCAAACTGTTTTCATTCCACATAATCATAATGGGAAAAATTGGTGTTTGTTTTTCTTTTCCCTCCTCATCCCTTTTTTGTCTAGTGTTACGTCTTTTAAACTATAAGCCTGAGGACAGGGCCTCGCTTCCTTTAATGGGACATAGGGTTGCGAGTCTTTTTGTCTAAAGAGCAAGGGTATACATTATTTAAATAAGTAGTAATGAAACCAATATGTTAATTAAGGTGGAAATCTGGTATATATTGCGAGTCGGCTGTACTGAATTCACCAGGACTTTTGAGTAAACTTAGGTAAGGATTGTAACATACGCAAATGACAAAACAGTATGAAAAAGCACAGATGTTGAATCCATTGAAAATTCTCTAATTGCTTTGACAGACTTGCTTGTCATCATTAAGAAAGTTACCATCAGATTGTTTTTATGGTATAAATGGCTACTCAACAAGTTTAGAATAGGTGTGCTTTGGCCCTTTCCTCGATATTTATTTTCAGTTAAGGTTTCAGCTCTTGGAACAAAGTAATTCTTCAGTTCATATATAAGTTAAATAGGGTATAGTGCTGGTATGCTGCTTAGAGTGCTGGACTGGGGAAAGCCTGGTCCAAACCCCTGCTTAGTCAGAAAACCCACTTGATGACCGTAGGCCAATATTACTTCTCAGTTTAGCCTACCTCACAGGGTCAGTGTGAGAATAACATAAGGAAGAGCAGAGTTATACTAGTTACTTGGGAGTTCTTTGGAGAAAAAGCAGGCGAATAAAATTTAAAAAGTGTTCTCCCTTGACTTCCTTAAACATACTTTGTATGAGAAATGAATCACATTGTGCCATATATCTAGTACTGTATCCATTTTGTTTTATAACATTTGTGGATAAGAGTGATGTCATTGTGAAGGAGGGCATATACACACCAGAAACCTCAGGAAGAAACAGATTACATGCTTGCTGGGTTCACGGAACAAGTTTGAAATGGATGTACAGCTCAAGTTCACCTTTAACTAATGAACAGGTTCTCACATTAAGCCTGTCACAAGTGAAATAAATTGAGAGTCACTTGGAATGCTACTCTTTTGGTAAAACGCACAGCAAGACAGTGTGATGGGTGCTTCCTTTAATATAATACCTTTCATTAAATGTCAAAGGACGCTTACCACATTAGAATAAATCAATGACAGAAAAGCAAGAGCAAAGTCTGAGAGACAGATTTACATTCTCATTGCTGCTAATCTTAAAAGGCATAAATGGGTCCCATAAAGGAGCGACACCAGCCTGGGAAAAACTATTCCCTGTGGGATTAATCAGGAAAGAATAGCCTGGATGTTTCAGAAAGTCATGAAACAGAGTTCTCTGCATAATTGTGTTGGATGCAAAGTCAAAATGAGGCAAGAATCTGCCCTGAAAGAAATGACTTCAGTTCTGATGCTATGTTTCAAACGTAGGCATTAATCGTATCTAAAGAAACCAGAAGTGGCAGATTGGCACATAACATATGTCTGTAAAAACCAGAACAAATCAGCATCCCAATCTATCTACTTTGAAAACTACAGCTATTTCTCAGTTTAATCAGTAAATCAACACTTACCCTGTCTCCCCGAAAATAAGACCTAACCTGAAAATAGTATGATTTTTCAGGATGCTCGTAATATAAGCCCCATCCCAAAAATAAGCCCTATTTAAGTGAAACCCCGCCCTCCACCATTGTGCAGCAACCAGAAGATGACATGACTGTATTTGAATAAATTTAGATTGTTGTACATGAAAAAAATAAAAATAAAACATTGCCTGAAAATAAGCCCTACTGCATTTTTGGAGCAAAACTTAATATAAGACCCTGTCTTATTTTCGGGGAAACACGGTAGCAACTCGTAGCTGTCCAGATATTATCCCATCATCCCTCTCCATTGCTTTTGCTGGGTAGGGAATGATAGAAACTGCAGAAAAACAACATTGGGAAAATCACAAGTTGCCACTGCAGAAGTAGAGAAATTACTAAAAAAAAAAATTCCACATCTGATCAATGGGGTTGAAAGACACAGATCTTGGTTTTTAGGCCATTTTATATCCAATATGTTACTGCAAAGGAGAGTGAAGCAAAAATGTTATATATAGTCTTTCCTTCTAAAAAGGTCAAGGCAACCCCAACTAAGGATCCTAAGTCTTACCAGGCTCCTATTGGCAGGGCACGCAAGAAGGACGAACCTGTCTCCATGGCTCTCCATTACTTTGCTGGTGTTTTTAATTTTATTGCTGTTGTTAATATTATGCTTTTTAAAACTATCTCCATTCTGCTGTGAGACCAAAATAAATTAGATCAACCACCAGTGAGGTATATTGGAGAGCTGGGAAGGTTCTGAATACTGTTCATCCATGATTTCCCCTGTTCTATCCCCCAGTTCCACCTGTGTTTTTCCTCTCTCAGGATTTGAGTTGAAACACACAGAAAGGCCAACAGGATGGAATGCAAAGAGGGATCTAAGACTGGATCTCCTACTCCAAGGTCAGAATTCTGTCTCCAGCTTTGAAAGATTTTCAGTCTCTCCTATAGACCCTGGAACACTTTCTGAGAGACCATATGATTGTAGTCTGAATATGACTACACACTGTCTAGTTGTACATTAGCTTACATGTCCATCCATTCTGTAAACATATCCCTGTCAGGGTTTAAGCAAGTATCATAGTGGCCAAAATCCTGTAGCTTAGTATGGTAATTGCATTAGAGAAGCTCCACTGAATCAATGGGGATTTGGTGAATTAACTCTTCCATAAGTCCCATTCATTCAAATGGGCTTACTCTATCTGAGACTTATTTTAGTATATTTAGAACACACCCATTTGAATCAATGGGCCTTACAAAAGAGTTGACTCACCAAATCCCTGTTGATTCAATAGGCCTGTTTTAGTGTGATTCACTTTGCTAAGCAACAGCATTTTGGTCATCATATTTAAATTTAAATTATCAGTTAAAGCAAATTGCTAACTAGAAATAACTTAACCAATTGGCAAATGTAGTTAATATAAATTAATTGGTTACATCTTGTTGTTCTAATATTGCTATCGCCAGTTAAAACAAATCTCTATTAGGATCAGTTGAGTCCTCAAACTTACTTACACTTATGCAGAGTTTTCTTCCTTTGAAGCCCAATCAATAGTGTTCAGCACACCAAAACCCCAGCAAGCTACTAGTCACAAACCCTGAGCAGAAAGCTGCACATTCTTCTTGAGCATAATTTCTAAGGCAGTTGACAGCAAGGGAGAAATGGTTCTACCCCACCGCATACTATCCTCCCCATCTAATATCTCCATCTTTTGTAGCAAAAAAGCCCCTCCACCCATTTTATTCCATAGTGGGAAATGGTCATTTTTGTGGAGGTGGCAGCAGCCTTTTGTCCTGGTTTTGAAACAGAAAAGGCACAAACAGAAAAGGAAAAGCAATTGGGTGAGAGGAAGGAAAAAGTAAACTAAGGGGGGAAATCCACTTTCATTCTCCTTGCTCTGATTTTTTTTTTTCAAATTGTGTTCCTATTGGTTTCCACAAGTGGGAAATCACTGCAGCTGTCTGTCTAGATAAACAATGATTGTTTCACTGGAGACAGCAGGGGCAGAGGCAGAAAGCTGTGGATGTGTTTGATATCTCCTACCTTTCCCTCATTTTGACCAAACTCTGGGCGGCGGTGGAAGACAGGAGGGCCTGGCGTGCTCTGGTCCATGGGGTCATGAAGAGTTGGACACAACTTAATGACTAAACAACAACAACCTTTCCCTCGTGACTGCTCTGCCACTCCTAAGAGCCTTTCTAAAGGAGATACTCCTGGAGTGGACTCTGTTAGTAATGAGGCATTTTCTATGTTTAGAAAAAAATAAAATAAAAATCTAGCCATTCTACTGTTTATCTATTTTTTGCACAGAGTTCCAACAGCAGAAGCTGCTTCTGATGTGACAAGGTACTGACTGGCAGTTTCCACAAGAACCACGTCTTTTCTTTGCCTCTTTTAAGATATATTTTTTTAAATTTCCAGAGTGACTTAGTACTAAACTGCTGCAGTGCTGACTTTGGAAAGCATTAAAAAATAGTTTGAAGGCAAAAGGTGCTTGGTTGTGAGGAACTGACACCCCAACGAGTTCCATTTTGTATCATATTGGGCAATCATTTATAGCAGAAAGCAGAGAAAAGCAAAGCCAGCCAGTAAGAGACAAAATAAACTACACCTCCCTGATGACAATTTCCCCTGGAGAGAGATAAGGCTTCCCTGTGCTTAGCTTTGTGTTGTGTAGCCACCAGTTTTTACTTTGATTTCATCTGTGCCAAATCAGACACACAATGGGCTAAATGGCCAGTGTAGTTCTCCCCTTTAGGCAGTGTTTCTAACTTTAAAAATTCTTCTAGCACTTAGTTAGAAACAGTCCATTTTTACATTGTGTGCAAGTATCCAAAAGAACAGTGACCAGTCTCTAAGTCAAAATAAACTACGAGAGAAAGTTGATGCGATGCTTTGCTGGCAGATTCCTGCCTCCAGCCTCCCTACGTGCTTAATGCATTTTAAGAGAAAGAAACCAAGAGAAGGCAAGCGAGGGGCATCTTTTTGATTTGTAAGTGAAAATACATCTAAGACCAGCACAAAGGTCAGAGTCAGGAGCTCTAGGTACATAGAACCAGTGTGGTGTAGTTGTCAGAGTCCTGGACGAGGATTTGGATGATCCAAGTTAAAATCCCTACTGAGCCATGACACTCACTAGGTGACTTTGGGCCAGCCTCTTTGTCTCAGCCCGACCCCACCACCCAAGGTTCCTTAGAGGAAGGGAGGAGGAGGAGGACAGCTGTGTGCACAGCTCTGAGAAAAGCCAGCATATAAGCATAAATGACAAAAATAACAAAACAATAGTCTGTCGTGGCAGTAGTTGTCATTCACCCTCATTATCCACCCAATTTACCTTGAAAACACTGCCATGGACCTTTATCACAAAAACAGCACTTCTCTCGCACATGGTAATATTCGAAGACAGCCACGCATGGCGATGTTTCTAAGCAAGAGAAGACAGGACAGCAACCAAAATCACAAATTCCACAGAATGCTTATTTATCCTGGAACGCAGTCTTTTTAAAAAGATTTTTCTCTCAAGTTGGCTTATAATATAAACTCATCAGCCACCAAATAATTAGGGGAAATCAGAAAATCAGAGCACGGACCACTTTGCAAAAAAAATGTAACACTTTTATTTAAATATAGTTATGCCAGTGACTCACGTCTGCCATGCAAGAAGTATATGCCCCAGCTCAAAGACTTTTTTTTTCCAGCTACAGTATTTTTAACTTGGTTTGTTCCAAAGTGTGAAGTGCTTGTTGACACTTCTGTGAAGGGTGTGAAATAAATGTAAGTACTCATTGAACTATTTGAATGGAACTACCCAAGAGTAAAATATTTGAGACCTTTGAGACAAAAGAATTTGACTAAGAGATACTGTAACACATATACTATATTAAAGGTGCTTAGAGATTGGATTAAGTGAAAACGAGGATAGTAGAAGTGACAGTGGGTTATTATTATAACACTGCTAGTGCAAAGGTAATTAAGCAATGAGGCAACTGAAAATATCCTTTCCATACATTCAGGCCATTGTTCCAGGCCTAATATTGTTTCCTTCCCAACCTTAATATGTGATGGCAAAATGTCATGTTCTGTTCCTTGAAACCAGTCATGCAAGTTCTTCAGTCCCACACCGAGTGTACATTACACATTCCAATGAAAGCAAGCTGAAGACATTTGGCTCCCTGAGGCAGAACAGCCAATGCCCCAGACCCACAAGTCAAAGCCCCGGCACAGAATTGGCTTTAAAGGAAACATTTCAAGCCCATCAGACAGAGCAAACAAAACACTCATCATGGCGCTTCCTGTCTGACCTTCCCAGAGGACCAAAGAGATGGGCAACCTAATTCAAAGAACCAAGGGAAGGGGCAGGATAAATATTTGCTATAAAGTACAGTACATCCGATAATATAGGATATGTGAGATTATGATTATTCCCTATTCCTTTCGTCTAATTTTTAGTATGGTCATCTGGACTGTTTGGCCTGATCCTAATTATCAGAGGTTGAGCCTGCAGAATGGTTGGCTGTGGGCACTGCTGTTAGTATTACAGCCACCTCCTGTATTCACTACCTGAGACAATTCTTTTACTTTACCTGACAGTCGGGCCAGTCCTAGCTCTCACGAGCATACGTATTTATTAATCAACATTTATTTGCCTTATGGATCTGGAGTTAGAAGAGTAACATTCCTTACTCGCCTTCCCTCCAGACACTGACCAAAGAGCTCCTGAATTGCAACACGCTTGCTGTGCTATGTGCCTTCGGACAAAATGCCCTGGATCTGGATAGGGAATTAAATAAACTGGCCAAGTGTGTCATCCTAAATAATTTGGGAACGGGGAGCAAAGTCTGTTATTGATACCTGTGGATTATTGACCTATTGTTTTTACATTATGGGCAACACAGTCCCCCCACTACCTACTATGACTGGTGCTGAACATGAGCAATTAAAGAAATACCAAGCTTAGGATGGGGAGGGGCAAGGACTGGATCTTATGATAGATCTTGTCTGCTAACCTTTTCAAAGGGCTCCTTTCAATGGTGAGAGAGAGAATGGTCCAGTGTCTCAACTTCACACACTGCGGCAGGGGCGGTCAATCTTCAGAAGTCAAGGAGCAACACATGTCCATTCCTGACATTGGAGATCCACATCTGCTCCCATGATCCCCCACCTAATTTTATTTTCTTTAAAACAAAAAGAGAGCTTTTTTTCCTGAAACAATCTCTTTTTTGCCCTCTAGTGGCCCAAATGGGTTTTTTTCCTTTTCTTTTTTTTACAGTTCCAGCTGATGGGGCAAGCAGGAGTGCCCAATACATGGCAAAATTGACTCTAGACAACCTAAATGATATAAGGGGGCTTTTTGAGGCTGTTTGTTTTTTAAAAGTTAAACATTTTCTGGGGGTGTTGGGGGGGCCTACATTTTAAGGCACCAAATGACCAGTTACAAAACAAAAGCTAGCTAATTTCCACAGGCAGTTGGAGGCAGTCTTGTGTTAAAGCAAGCAAACAATCTTTCCTCTCCAGGATGCGTTTCTTCCAGATAGAAAACTATTGTCTCACCTAGTGGGCCCTCGAGGATAGCAACCAGAGACCAAAGGGAGGCTGGCTCATCTTTGGCCCGGAGGCTTCCAGTTGCTGCACCATATGACATACAACAGAGCTTGTAAATTTCACATGTTACAGCTCTCAGAATTCTCCCATTCAGCATGATCAGTGGCTATGCTACTGTAGCTGGTGGAGCCTGAAAGTGGTACTCTTCCCCAATCCTCCATCCCACCCCACCCCAATTGCTGAAACATATCAATAAGAGTCCATCGTTGGGAGACATTTTTTTTCAAAATTTGCATAAGAACCCCTACAGTCTCTCAGATAAGATTTTCATCCATACTGTTGACACTTGTTAATTTTTAAACAGAGAGATTAGCGGGCTGGGCACAGGAATGGGGGATTCCGCATGATCCTCCAAACGGGACTATCAAAACTCAGGCTATACTCTTTAATCATGGAAGGCCCCACCCAGCTTGTTCATGGCTTTAAGCTGATTTTTGTCTCTGCTTCCAGGAGTATTTCTACTAAGTCATAAATTACTGAAATCAGTGGACTATAAGGTGCTTGCCAATTCTACAAATGGTATGGATTTGTCACTGGCAGGGAGGGTCCTGGGCAACTAGCTGTATCATCTCCGCTGAACCATTCTTAATGCATTTTGTTCCTACCTAAAGTTGCATGCATACAAGGTTAAAAGTTCTGCGCTGCTGATTAATACCTTATGTTGAATATTTATTTTCCTAGAAAATCTGTGTGAGTTCATCATCCTGAGGATCATGACTTCCTTCTCTAATAGGCTGATGATTAAATCTAAAGGAGTATCACAGAGAAGGCATAGTATCAGCTTTCGTTGTTATTGGGAGAGGCTGTTAGGAATCATAACACAACTACATATAATACGTATTGTATTATTATTACTTATTACAGTGCCTGATGTTAGGTTGTTTCTTTTATGTGTTATTCCATTTGATTCATTTTTATTTTTATTCATTATAAATTGACATCTTATACAAAAATGCCTTGGAGAACTTTAATTTTCATTTGTTCTCCACATTAGCAAAGGGAACATAAAACATATAGGAACATAGTCGTGGATATAACACATTTTAATATACTTTTTTGTTAAAATGGTTCATGAGGAAAGCAAGAGGCAACATGAACCAGGACAGTAATATTTAGGTGGGCTTACTAGGAAATAATAATTGTGTGTCATCAAGTCCTACTTATGGCAACCCTCCCCAGGGCTTTCCAGATGCAGAGAGAATACTCAGAAGTGGTTTACCATTCACGTCTTCTGGGGGCGCTCCGGAACTGTTCAGCTTCCTTTTTCAAATTATCCTTTCTATTTTAAACTAGGAATAGAGTAAAGGGTACAAGGGGTAAAAAGGGATAAAAGGGGGGGGGAGAGAAGAACATAACGTATATTGTCATCAAATCTTGTTGTTTGCATTACAATGTCTAGTCAACTTTTTGCCTTTTTATAGTTTGATTGACCTTCTAGATTTCTACTTACAGTTACCTCTTAGTTTAGTTCTATGTTTATCCAGTTCTGTCTACTGACTCAAACCATTTGTATATAAATCCCATCATTTCATTGCTTTTTGTATTGGACAGTTTCTTAGGACTTCCAATAAAATGTCCATCTCTGCTACTTCCCTAATCTTCTCCAAGAGCTCCTCTTGCTTTGGTATCAACAGTTTCTTCCAGTTCTTAGCACAGAGAATTCTGCGTGCTGTGACTATGTGTACAACCAGGTAACTCTTTGTCTTACTGTATCCATGTTATCAGGTATAATGTTCAATAAAAACAATTCTGGGTTTAACAGAGTATTACACAGCATGATTTTTTCTAACAAAGTATATACTGCTATCCAGTACTGCTTCACCTCTCAACAAGTCTATCACATGTGGTAAAAACTTCCCTCTTGTGCTTTACGCTTCCAACAAACATTTGACACTTCTGCATAGATCTTTGATAGGGTTTTTTTGTTTCTTTTTTGGAGTCATATACTGTATCACCTATAGAACATCTTATATATGTTTTCCCTAAAATTTACCAGTTTTGTGAGCTTTATATTATTTTTCCATATTTGCGATCAATGTCAATATCATGTCCTATATTTTGTGCCCACCTAATCATACATCCTTTTACAATCTCCTGCTGCATTTTAGTTTCAAGCAGATAATCATACATTTTCGTAATTACTTTCTCATTTGAGCCCAACAAAAGTTTATCGGATATCATTGGTTCTGTGCTCTAGACTACCAGTCTAAATATATATTTTGCACCTCTAATTATTTTAGACCTTAATTCAAAATCCTTTTTAAATAAATCTTGATATTTTAATAATTTAGATTCTATCATAGGATTAGGTTGTGTAAAGGCCTATATAGGTTGGTATTTTTTGGTATATCTGCTGTGTATTACTTTTCCAAGTCCATAATAGGGTTCTTCTTATCATGTAAGTATTGAAACTTCTATGTTCTTTATCTTTTTATACCATTAAAAAGCATCCTAACTGCAGATCATGTCCTTTTAAGTTAAGTAGCCTATCATTATGTAGGGTTATCCATTCCTTTATCCCAACTAATACACAGGGTCTATAATGTAACATCCAATCTGGGAGACCAAGACTGTGCAGCTTCCTTCAGGGCTACCTAGGTGGGCTCTTCTCTCAGGAGACACAGTGGGGAATCAAGCTCCCAACCTTTGGCTCTGCGGCCAGAGAGCTAAACCACTGAGCTATCCAGCCAGCCCTTACTACAGAAAACAATCTGTCAAGTGCTATGGGGTTTACTTCTGAGTAGGCATGTTTGAGAGCCAGAGTGGTGTGAGTGATGGAGTAGGTGAGTTGGACTCAGTCATGGACCTGCGCTGAAGAGTGGCACTAATAAAAACCACTCTTTAATATCTCACAGACATTGAAAACAAAATTCTAAATAAAAATGTTTCAAATTGCACTTGGAAAGGGTCTTGTCTGTGAGGATTTTATGGCGCTTTAGTTCTCTCCTGTTATTTGTATAAACTTTTCTTCAGTACCACCCTCATAAAAGAAAAGCTTCCCACCGGTGGCCGGCTTGTGATTAGTGGTATCCAACTTTCCCTCTAATTTCCATCCACACTGCTTGGAAGCCTTGCCCATCTGTGTGCAGGGTTTCATCCAAAACCTGGAAGTAGACCAGCATCAACACTGACTGTTGCTGAGTGCCGCTGAGGGAGCTCTGCACACATTCATGGGCAGACATCTCAGAGAGAACATTGGTGGTGTCCCTTCCCTTCCCTGATGTAGGCCACCAATTTGGGACTGTCTGTGTCTTACACTCTTAGCATTTGCTGTGTAGTTCCTTTTAAACAATGAGATATTTTTGGCACTGAATTCCACCCTCTCTTACTTGACGAATTTGTTTTTCCATACAAGATTCAAGCTACTGCTGCTATGCCTGATTTTCTGGTAGTAACTAGGTATAGCTATTTTTCTATTATCATTTCTCTATTGGCTATTCTATAATAAGAGTTCAGTTTGCCCATTTTTCTTCAAGTAGTTTGTTTCTATGGGTGCAGCCAGTTCAGAAGCATCTCTTATTCCAAAATATTCCGGAAGTTCATTAATCTTCTACTTTCAACTGAAGAGATAGCTTCCATTTCAAGGTAACAGACAATATCTTCTAGTTTTTGTCACTTCAAATTCTTTAGTTAGACAGCATAAGACTTCCTCACAATCAGAGTCATCTTCATCAAGCAGGACCAAATCATCAGCATGTGTCAATATGTAGGTCTATATGTCATCTCCATATCATACGTAAAAATATTTATTGCCTTTGCTTTGCATGAAGCCTTGTGTGATTATCTGTTTCTGTTTCTCAATGTCTGCTCTTGCCACTTGCTTCAGGCAAGAGATACACGTGGCTTGTCTCCTGATTTTTCAAACAAAGAAGGCTGCTGCATGTAGATATCTTTCTTGATTTCTCTCTATATAAGGCTATATTGACATTTAAAGTTTGATATTTAGTCAGTCAGTGAGTGAGTGAATATAATTTGTAGGCTGACTTTTTCCCAGCAAGGGGGGGGCCAAGGCAGCTCACAACATTAAAATAGGTAAAACATAAACCACAATACAATACAAATTAAAAAGCAATTAAAGCACACTACTAACTAAAAATTCATTAAATTTTAAAAACATTCCAAACTACACAAACAAATTTTAAAAAGCAAAAGACTAGCATCCATTGACTCAGTCATAGTTATTAAAAGTTATTAAAAGCTTGCCTGAAAAGGTTGGTCTTCAATTGTTGGTGGAAGTCCAGTTGCCATGACTCAACTCCAGAAAACCTCACCTGGATAACTGGAGAATTTTCACAGGTATGTTGGTGGAAGGATAGAATGGAGGGGACTAACCTATATATATACAGGATGGACACAAAAGCATCAAAGTATTCAGCCAGTGAGGCTGTGAGAAATCCCATTTTCTGTCCATCAGTCATTTAGACTTAAATTATCAAACACTGTTAGTAGAGCAGAAATGTGCTTTTCACAATCTTCCTATTAAGACAGAACCTTACAAACTGCCTAATAAAGATTGCTTCTGATTTAGAGCTAGAAAAACCATAAGATCTCTCAAGTGCTGTTTCTGTTTTTTGTCTTTCTAAGTAATCATGCATTTTCAAAGCTCTGAGGTTAAATTGCAGCCTGTTTCCGCTGATAGCAAGGACCTGTCTACATTTCTCGAAAAACCCCACAATGTTTAGTGTTTTAATTTTAGCTGACTTAAATCACATGATTTTAGTAGTTTCCTGCATTCCTATTCAGTAATTGAAATTCATTTCTTCTTCTGTCAGTGTTCCAATTTCAGAAGCTACATACTTTCAGCTTGTGCTTTTAAATTGGGTATGCATGGAGAGACTCCCTTTTAAAATTAGCTGTAAGGTTCATAATGGATTTAAGTTGATGAAGAAAAGAGAGTGCTAAAATAAATGGTCCTCTAGTGGCCATTTATTTTAACCCGCTTCCTAAGAAAATAAAATGAGTCAGGGGAAAAAATACACACTTTGGAATTCATTGTGTGAATATGAAACTCAGCCCAATTTTTGACACAGGGCAAATCCCAAGTGTTTAGGCTGTATGACCAGACTCTAATTCAGAGAAATTAATTCTGGCATATTTCCCCAGAAAGCCTTGCTGTGATCTAGGGCCATTTTTTTTACTTTCACTCTTCCTGAGCAACTTTGGTCAGAAATCTCAGGAAAGGAACAACTCTTTCTTTTCTGCCAGTTATGAGGTGTTTTTGGTTAAAATGATGGAGCAGCAGGAGGAGAGAAATAAAAATCACAAGCACTTTAAAAACAACAAAGCCTAAAAAAAATACTTGGTAGCTATCTGGCTAGTTCTGTGGTCACTGGACACTAGTTATTGATCACTGTTCGTAGTTGAGGCTTTTGGAGGCTCCTGGGCCCATAACCTCTTGATAGAGTGTGAAAGTTTGGTCAGAAAAAGGTTTAACTGCACAACAGAAAACAGTAATCTACAGAGTAGAATTAGATTCAAGTGTCCCCAGAACAGACCACCCTTTTTGGTTCTCACCAACTGGAACTTAACAGTCTCACTCTGAGACATTGGTAAGAGACAGAATAAAAGGTTCCATTTAATCAGTTAGGAACAGATCAAAAACAGTATATTATAGTGCGGAGAAATGACTGGTTATATCAGGCTTGTCCAACCTGTGGCCCGGGTCAGCTCATAATGCAGCCCAGTGCAATTTTTTATTTTTAAAGAAATTCCAAAGTTTCAAGTTACACTGCCGGCACTTGCGGCCGGAATGCGGCTGGGGCACGTCACAACGATAGAGGGGGAGAGAGGGAAGGAGGGAAGGAAGGAGTGGGAGGGGAGGGGACAGGGGGGCTACGTGACTGCATTGCACCATCCCCATCAATAGGTGGACCCCCTCTCGGCCCCATAAAGCTGCTGGAGTTGAAGCTGGCAGCCCCTGCTGTCTGAGATCGCAGCTGACGGTAAGCGCGCTTGGAGCGGGACTGTAGAGGATGGCTAGGGCTGTCCCCTCCATGCGGCCCAAACCAAATTTATGTGCGGCCCAAACCAAATTTTCATCTTCTAATGTGGCCCAGGGAAGGTGAAAAGTTGGACACCCCTGGGTTACATGAACAGGCCTTAACTGACTCATAGCTACATTAGTAACTCTAACTGAATACTGACTGAAAAAAGAGCGGGGGAAAAGACTTTAAGCAGAGAAGTGTGGCTGTCTTTAAAATCAGAGGTAGAGAAAGAACAATTGGTCGCTGCTGGATTGATTGACAGTCACCCCAGCCAAACCTCTTGAAGGCAACATATAGAACAATTGGTCACTGCTGGATTGAGAGTCACCCCAGCCA